CGCCTTGGGGAGCAAGCCACAACAACAAGCCCGACCGAACAGGGACGCCGGAGACAGCAGACAAGATAAGGCCGGATGACCCATCCGGAATCCCGGCCATTCAGGTTTCGGGGCGGGTCGGGGGTATTCGTTAGTGCGGCACCTCTACACATCAACGAAATTGCACCAAGCAGTTGGCAGGCTTGGGTCTCTTAAGGTGACCAAATGTCTGATCTTTCATTTGTACATCCCAAGTGTATCTCAATGCCTCAGAGTATGAGTTGATTTCCTTTGACTGGCTCTCGAAAAAGGCCCGGACGGTGCCTCTACCTACTTCATCGCAGTCTCTCCAGCCTCCCGGACGCGATCCGAATGGGGTGAGTACGTGTCAATTGGGTCCAAGTGGAAGTTGGTCACAGACAGGCTTTGTCCCCTACAATTCACATGCGTAGTCAGATCCATTTGAAGGTGGCCTTTTCGAATCTACCATTAGTCACAACGATGCTACTGTAGACCAAATGGGAAGTGTCTCAAACGATTAGTGGATTTTTTTCAAAGCAAGATAGCTAAAGCTGTGATGCTTAGCTTAGAAGGGTGTGTTAATTGGTCATGCAGTAAGCCGGAAGAGTTGTGATTGCCTACCTGTGCCAGTAGGAGTACAGGCGCACGATCCCGCGATTATGATGAATGCAGACCTCTTGTCATGAAAGTGAAAGCAGGCACTAAGACACTAGAGATGGCTGGCTACAATCATACCAATTTGTTAAAGTCGGATTTCGTCTACTTATTAATGCATCGGTCTCCTGTTCGGACCATCAATCGCTACAGCTTCATTTATCAGAGTCATGAAATGCCTCATTTATTGTTTTCAATTAATTTGATGCATTCTCATAAGGCTCTGACGGTAGATGGACGGGCATCGTGAGTCAATACGCCGAGGACTTATTCGCACAACTTGCAAGATCATCACTTCATTCTCGCTTTCCTAAGAATTGATTTTATAATTTTTCTTCCCACTTCTTTACAAACTAAATAAAAGACACACCATTACGAATTTATCAAAAAATTCCTCCTGCCAACAATTTCCCTATGCTCAACACTACTACTGTAATCAGATTAAGTAGTGCTTTAGATATGAACTCAGAATGACTGACAATTAGGCATTTTTCATCATTCTTGAGTGGCCTGTAACAGATGGGTAAGTGGGGTATAGTGGAGTTGCTGGGTCCTGTGACGCCTGTTCCTCTTGTTGTCCCTATCCCCCCAGGCATAGTTGGCGTGAATCGCTTCTGCAGTTCATTCGACATGGGCGACCAATGCCAATATGTGCCCTACCAGGATCACTCGCGCATCTACCGCACTTGCGTGTACACCTGCTTCACGCCCAACTGCAATCGAGCAGGTCTCGTCGGTCGCCGCTTCGCGTCGACTTGGCCCTTTGCTGTGCTCGTCGCCGGGTTGCTCGTCTGGCTCTAGTCCTCCTCCTCAACCAGAACGGCCGCCGTCCTCTTCTGCTCGACCCCTCCAACTGTTCATGCTCCACCGCCGCCCGTCCGCCATACCCTCTGCTGGAGACACTTGCCCACACGCCGCCACAATTCTTTGCCCCATCTTGCCTCCGATTCACCGACCATCTCTCCCATTCACTTGTTTCAGGCGAGTTCAATCCACATAGCCTCTAAAACTCATCCTTCATCCATTCATCCATCCATTCGTTCCTCCATCTACCCATCCATCCAATAATCAATCCAACTTTTCATTTATTCATCTATTCATTCATCCATCCAATTGTCCATCTATCAGTCTTTCAACCATTTATCCATTCATCCATCCATACACATATCCATTAATCAGTCCAATAATCAATCCATCTACCCTTTTATCTATCCATCCATCCTTCTATTTGCTCATCTACAAATCCAGTCCTAGATCCATTTTCATCCATTTATTAGTCCATCTATCCATTCATCTATCTATGCAACTATCACTCCATCTATCCAACAATCGATTCACACATCTATCTATCCATCCAGTAATCCACCCTTCCATTTATTCACCTATCAACCCATTGCCCTATTTATTCATAGACACATAAACTGACCCATTCATCCGTTATCAATCTGTCTATCCAGCCAACCATACATTCATCCATTCATCCATCTGTCCAACAGTCATTCAATTCATCTATTTCTCCATTAATTTATATAACTATCCATTCATCTATTTAACCTTCTCTCTATCTATCCATCAACTGATTTATCTATCTATTGAACCAATCCTCTGTCCATCAATTCATTCAGCTATCCAAATACCCATCCATCTATCCAGCTTTCCATTCATTCACTCCTACATCCATTAATCTATTCAACCATACTTACATATATCTATTTCTTTGTCTATCAATCCATTCACCCATCTTTTCATATACTGATCCATCCATCTATACGTCCAATCAGCCATTCATCCATCTCTTTAGTGACCATTCCATTTCTCCATCCCTTAATCCATCTTTCCAAATACCCATTCATCTATTCAACTATCCGCTCCATCCATTTAACTATTGATCCCTCCATGCCTCCATGTCTCCATCTATCCAACCGTCCTCCCATCCATCTCTCCCTCCACTTATTAATCAAACCATCAATCCATCCCCTCACTTGGTGAAGAGCCTAAATCCATCCCGTGAACAGATTACTTTTCTCATGTTTACCAGTCACTCATTCCATCAGTTGGCAAAAAAGCGTTCCTCCGTCTGTGTATGTTGTCCAGTCTTCGTGAGTTCAGACAAAGACTCATGAAGTCTCAGCAACACGGCCAGGCCTTCACTCCAGTCGCCTCGAGCCACCTTCGACCAAGGTCGGGCCGAGCTAGCGGTCATGTCAGCTAAACGGTTGCATCATTCCAGTCTGCAAATGTCCTCCTTGGAGCAGACTTCCTTATCCTCATGCCTTCATTCCGGTACGACGAAGAATCTCTCTCGGACTGGCCATTGTCGACTCTATCTGCCCTCACTTCAACAGTTTCGGCTCGCTTCGTTCCAGACTACTTTTGGCCACTGTAGCTCGTTTCTACAGCCTTGACTACCAAGGCAAACGGGCCTGCATATATACACACACACACACAGACACACGCATGAGAAGATGTGCACAGGTCAATTAGCGCTATTCAGGTCCTTCTATGAGGTCAGTGTTTGCAATCTAGTCAACTCAGCCACAGCCCTATGAGAGGTGATCGCTGAAGGAATTGCATTTCTCTATAGCTTGGGGTCGGTTTTTATAGTTTACTTGTCAACTTTTCGTTTATTGCCTTCTCTACCGAGCCGCATATGTGCAATATTTGTTATCTTTTTTTTACGAAATTTTGTAAAATATCAGTTTGTCTCGCCTTGCCTTAGTTTCTCATCTAATTACTTTATGGCCATTCTGATCTGTGCCCCTGGTTGGGCTAAGGATGATCTTCTGTCGCTCAGATCAGCACGAGTTCAACCTGAACTCGATTTAGTGGGACTTGACTTTGTATTCCGAAGTAAAAGTTGGCTGGAAGGAATTCTTGAATTGGCCTCACATGACGTGAACATTGCATACATACAACGCGTCAGCATCCAGTTGCATCTTATTACTTAACTTCATCCTCAAGCATGATGGGATTGTATGCACAATTTGGTATAAAATACTAATAGGTATGCAGCCGGCCACCTATTTACTTGGTTTAGTATATCGGCGTGGTTTTTTGTAATGTATAATTTCTTGCCCTGACGATATCTGTCACATGAAAGGCGAAAGCGTAGCACAGGTTTATTGGAGTTGTAGGACGGGGAGTCGAGGATTTCTTGGCACAATCCAACAATATTTACACCACGAACATCAATTCCAATTCGATTTCCGATGGGACCAATTCCGCAATTTCCACCAAATAACTGTTGCTCCGAAAGTCAAAATTGAGTCACACAAAATCACTATGCACCCCTTCGAAAGCCATCTTCTCTTCAGATAGCCTGAACGCGACTATATTATCCTAACTCCGATCTGATAGCGATTTCGCAAACACCGGTTCCTTTCGCTACCACTTCGAGGCCAGAAAGTATTTGGTCGACCCAAAGAGCCTCTGGGTTGGACGAAGCCGAGGTGGTGGGACTTGCCTGACCGATTTCAACCTCCTCAGGAGGTTCGGCAGACTCGGTGGGTCTGACGCTTCGTGTCTCAATGCTGTCTGGGGCCGAGACACCAACAATTTGGGTACTACTTATATTCCGTGCGAGTATGCTCCCAAAGAATGAATAATTCGTAAATGAAGATTCATTCGCACTAGTTCGTCGATGTAAGATGATTTAAGGAGAATGATGAGATATTTGCTCATATCGAAATAAATGAGCTTAACAATACGATTGAATTTTGTATAGCTTTACTGGCCAAAATGTTTTCTCTTCCTGCGTGTACTGCCGTTTCGCCGTCTCCTCGGTCTCATCAGAATTTAAAAGAGGACTCGCAAACACCTTAACACTCCGCATAATAGCCACCGATGCTACTGGGTCTTAGGATATGGTCAGGGTCCTTTACCAAATCACAATTCTATTGGGATATGAGATGCGGCAGATATGCATATGCCAATACATAAGACCACATTATTTATAATGTGATTTGACTCCTTATCACAAAAGAAAAATTGGTTGGGAGGGATTTGCGAATCGGCCCTACCAAAAGCAGAATGAGGATTACTTTGAAGTGGATAAAGTTGGATAGATATGGATATAAATGGCTACTTCTTTTTTTATATTTATCTTATTACATTTAAGGCAGTGGTTCGACCTCAATTTCACAACTTGGTCGTACTGCCAGGGCGACTAAGATGAACGCACCTTGGTAGTTATTATAAGTTATTGCGCTTGCAGCTTCCCATCGGTAGATTCCACGGTTCAATGTTGAAAATTAGCATCACTATCATGGCAAAGGACTCCGGACAGCATGAAAGGAGACCGTAACCCAAAAAAGGCCAAACCATCTTGGTTATCATACCTTCGATTAATTACTTTTAAGT